GTCGATTTTGCGCGACGTAAGTGGCGTCGCGCAAAGTTGTTTTGGGCGACGTAGGTCTTCATCGCGCAAAGTTAGGAAAAAAGGGTAAATTATGCTTGGTTTGGCGCCAAAATCTTGTGCGACGCACAAAACGTCGCGCAAAACATCCTTTGCGCGACGAATTTTGCACGACACAGGTGCACCTTCGTCGCGCAAAACAGCTTTGCATGATGCAAGTCTTCGTCGCGCAAAGGATGTTTGCGTGACGTTTTGTGTTTAACGTCGCGCAAACGTACTTTGCACGACAAAATTTTCTGCATCGCGCAAGTTTCCGTCGCGCAAATATGTTTTTGTACTAGTTACACTTAATGCTTCTCTATGAGAGCAACTCCAGCGGGATGAATCGCTGGAGGGACAGTGGGAGGAACAGGGCCGGATCGCCCGAGGGAGCAAGGTCAGCGTTGGCTGGCGAGGGAGCTGGAGGGACATCGGGCGCCAGGCCCGTGGATTGGTGCCGGCCCTTGAGCTTGAGATGGGTCTGACGTCAGACGCCTTTATTAAATTTTTTTTCTGTCAGGCGCGTGCCATTCAAGCGCGCGTTAGGAGACACAAAATCAAAAAACGGGCCCGTGGCGCAGATTTTTTTTGTTACCGTTGGGGAGCCACGTGGCTTCCCCACGACCGTTGCATTTCAACGGATATAAATTGTGAACCATTGGATTTCCAACGGTAAAAAAAATAAAAAAACTTCATTTAATATCACCCGTTAGATCTGAGATCAACGGTTCACGTTATTAGACTTTAAAAATTAAAAAAGAAAAAGGAAAAACAGTTAAAAAATCAGAAATATTATCGTTGGGCCACGTGGCACAATCTGGAGTGTTGGAATTCAAATTGGTTTAAATCCAACGGTGTAGATTAATTAGGTGAATAAAAAATTTTAAAAAATGTAAAAAATTATTAAAAATCTGAAAAAAAAAATTGAAAAATAAGAAAAAAATTTGATTTTACTTTTCTATAAATACCTTCTCATTATCTTCTACCTTACACCACACTTTCATATCTTCTCAAAGTTTCAATCCAATTTCATATATTGTCAAGTTTGAATCCAATTTCATAGTTTTATATATTTACTTTTCTATAAATTCAACATATATTGTCAAGTTTGAATTCAATTTCATAGTTTTATATATTTACTTTTCTATAAATTCAACATATATTGTCAAGTTTGAATTCAATTTCATACTTTTATATATTTACTTTTCTATAAATCTAATTTCATATATTGTCAAGTTTCAATCCAATTTCATAGTTTTATATATTTACTTTTCCATAAATTCAACATATATTGTCAAGTTTGAATTCAATTTCATACTTTTATATATTTACTTTTCTATAAATCTAATTTCACATATTGTCAAATTTCAATCCAATTTCATACCTATCTTTCTTAAATACCTACCTTTTCTATAATCTACTTTTCTATCTTTCTATAAATCTAATTTTATATATTTGCTTTTTCTTAAATACCTATCTTTCTCTCAAAGTTTCAATCCAAATTTTTCCCAAGAAAATGACTAATGATGCATGTACGAATTGGACGCTTACTGAAGATGTTACGTTGTGTACTAGCTGGGTTGAAGTTACTCATGATCCGATTTCGGGTAATGAGATGCAGTTGAGAGAAATGTGGGGTCTTATTCATACCAATTATCTTGAGAAAATTGGTGGGAAAAGAACCAAAGAATCTTTGTCAAGTCGTTGGAGACTACTGAGCAAATCGTTTAGTACGTGGAGAGACGCCTTGGCACAAGCTAGTGCTAATCTTCGAAGTGGAGAAAGTTTAGCGGATCAGGTAACGATATATTTTTGATTTGTTTGTACTATACCCAAATTTACATTACCTACTTTGATTATAATTATTTATTCTCCTGCATTGTGTAGGACCTTCAAGCACAAGCTTGGTATAATGCCAAAACCACAAGCAAAAACAAATCGTTCAACCGGTGGGAATGTTGGAATATTGTCAAAGATTGTCCTAAATTCAAAGTTGTGCCTATAGGTCTAGAAGTGGTCTTTAACAGCACCCCTCTACACTATACGCCCGATCATGCCTCGCATGATCATGATGAAGATGATGCAGAAGACGTGCCCGAAACTCCTCCCGTTGAACAAGCGTCGAGGTCGACCCGTTTTCCAATTAGGCCTCAACAAGGTAGGAAGGCTTCAAAGAGAAAAGGTAATGCTTCCAAGAATGATTATGCAAAGTATATGGAAGAACTTGCCCGCCAAGGTGAATTGAGTTTGGCCCGGGAAATTGCCAAATTTGAGGCTGATAAGGCTAGAGAGGATGCAAAAGCTGCTGCTATTGAGAAAGAATTTCAAGCTAATGAGAGAGAAAGAGAACTACTTCGGCAAGAAAGGGAACAGGTTAGAGAAGAAAGAATGGCTCAACGAGATCGTGACATTATGAAGGAGCCTTTAGAAGGGAAGTCTCCAAACTCTAAATATTTTTGGAAGTCGGAGAAAGCGGACGTGGTGCGAATGAGGCGTGCAAGAGAAGCGAGAGCAAGAGGAGATGGTCCTAGCACGACAAGAGAAGAGCATCCTAGCACCACAAGAGAAGATCATTCTAGCATCACAAATTGGTTAGGTGATGATTATCCATTCACGAACCCATAATTTTCCAATCACTTTGTTTGTAATCGAAGCCCATAATTTTCCAATCAATTTGGGTTGTAATTTCTTATTTATTGAATAGAGTACTTTATGTTGTTTCCAATTTATTGAATTTAGTACTTTATTTAAACTAAAGAGTATATTTATTTAATTTGGTAATTTATTTATACTAAGGTAATTTCTTATTCCTTCTGATTGGTTAAACAATTCTTCCTCTTGCTGATCGATTTCTCACATCATCCTTGAGGAAGAAGAAGACATTGTAAGAAGGAAGCAAAAACTATGAATAATAATAGAGATTTAGGTGAATAAGGAAGCAGAAACTATGAATAATGATAGAGATCTTGAGAAAAATGGTGTGAGATTTCTGAGGATGGATGATGGTGGAGGATTCAGAAAGGATTAGGTTGTTGATAATGCCATGTGGCATGCTATCATTCGTTAAAAATATGGTGGAAATCTATCATCAAAGATTGTAAATAGATTGTAATACGTAGCGCGACGTGATTGGTTAAAAATCTTATCGGAAATTCATCACCAATAATTGTCTTTTCGGATAATGACACGTGGCGCAACGAGAACGATTAAAAATCTTTTCCGAAATCCATCACCAATAATTGTCTTTTCGGATAATGACACGTGACGCAACGAGAACGATTAAAAATCTTTTCCGAAATTACGAATAAAATTATTTTGTATTATTTTATAAATAAAAAAAATTCTAATATTTTATTGCTATATTCTTTTCGATTAATGACACGGGGCTCAACGAGAACGATTAAAAATCTTATCCGAAATTACAAATAAAATTATTTTGTATTATTTTATAAATTAAAAAAATATTAATATTTTATTGCCAGGGCTATTCAGTGCAGGAGTGGAGATGCAAAAAGCGATTACTGTTTATTAAGGGCAGTTACTGTTCATTGGGTGGATAGCATAGTGGATTGCCCTAGGGACAATGGACCACGCTGGAACTGCTATGAAGTCTTGATAAATTTTTAAGCCATGAACTTCATTAGAAAAGTTCAGTGAAAAATATGAGTTGAATTACACATAATCCTTCTGCACATAAATGTGCACTCAAATGTGTTGTCTTACACATAATTTACCGAATATTATCTCATGCCTTGTGACTTTCTTGTTTCTCCTTCTATCGTCTCTTGTTTTTGTTTTAGCTATGCAATGTTGCTTGACGATCGATACTATTTATTTTCATTGTTATTAAACGGTTCATATTATTAATCAATTACGTCGTACTTCAATTTTTTTTTATTTGGAATTTGAACAAGAGAGCAAACATGTCTTTAACAAACTTAGAAATAACCCACATCTCCATCCCCATTGCAGAAGGACAGTCAAATGGAAAAAGTTGCTTAGCTTCCTCAAACCCTTTTCCTCGAGTTTGGTTGTGCCATTTGATTATTATTTTTTATTTAGGTACGAAATTAACTTAGCTCCTCAATAAATGAGATTAAGGAGGAGTTTTTCTCCACACATGTTGTTACTGATTTACGAAACTTCGCATATCTGGTTGAAACCGTTCATATTATAAATCACATTATAAATATCTTTTTTTTTTTTTTTTTTTTGTAGATATGACATTTATAGTGTGATTTATAATATGCATGACTTTGATTATATGCACGAAGTTTCATAAATCGGTAACAAAGCATCTTAAGGAAATCGGTAACAAAGCATCTTAAGGAGTCGAGCTTTCCTCTTTAGGCCATCTCCAACCCTTGGGCTAAAAGCCAAATTTTTTAGCCTGGAAAATTTGGCTTTTAGCCCAGAAACATCTTTTCTGTTACAACCCTTCTGGCCTAAAATTTTAGCCCGGAATTATTAAAGAATGAACTTAGGCTAATTTTTTCTTAAATCAATTTAAAAAAAAAAACATAAATATGTAGATTATTGTAAATTAATTTTATGAACATTTTAATCTAAAAAAATTTAAATTCCGATAAATATTGAAAAATCATTAAATTTTTCACAAAGCAAGCTACTTTCACCAACCTTTCAACTTTCACCAACCGTTCATCTTTCACCAACCGTTCAACTCCAAACTTTCAACTTTCACCAACCATTCAACACCAAACTTTCAACTTTCACCACCAAACTTTCAACTTTCACCAACCGTTCAACACAAAACTTTCAACTTTCACCAACCGTTCATCAATCATCCTCTATATAAACACAGGTCCAATATTAGTTGATCACACAATCTTTCAACCTTTAATCATCCTCTATATTCACCAATCTTTCAACTTTCAAAGAGTTTTTGTTTCCTAAAAATTCTCAATATCTCATCAATGAGTGATAGAAGAAGGCGTAGCAGGGCAATGGAGATGGCACAATACCAAGCAAGGCTTGACATTGAGGATTTAGAACTGATCAACGCCGAAACTGAACTTGTAAACTCGTTTATGCAATATGAGCACCATGGCGAATCTAGCCATCGTGGTTCTGTCACGGGGCGTTCATTCGTGCAGCGTGATAGAGAAGAGTGTCATGACCAAATGATGAAAGATTATTTCATTGAGCGGCCGAGATTTCTTGCTCATGATTTTCGGAGGCGGTTTCGGATGAGGAGAGAGCTTTTTGAAGGCATCTTGAACGCAGTTGTCAATCATGACCACTACTTTGCAAGGAAGATAGATGTCGTAGGCCGACAAAGTTTATCACCTCATCAAAAGCTCACATCTGCATTTCGAATGCTAGCTAATGGGTGCTCTGCTGACTCAACTGACGAATATTGCCGACTTGCGGAGAGTACTGCTATTGAGAACCTGAAGGGCTTCTGTCAAGCAATTCAAGTCATCTATGGAGCCATATACCTCCGCAAGCCAACTCGTGAAGACTTGAAAAGGCTTCTACGCAAGGCAGACAAAAGAGGCTTCCCTGACATGATAGGAAGTCTCGATTGTATGCATTGGGAGTGGAAGAATTGTCCTACTGGTTGGGCTGGCCAATTCAAGGGCCGTCATAACAAGCCAACCATCGTGCTGAAGGCTGTGGCATTTTACGACACATGGATTTGGCATGCATTCTTCAGCTCTCCTGGATCAAACAACGATATCAACGTTCTTTGGTCATCTCCTCTGTTCGATGAGGTTGTGAATGGATGGGCACCAGAATTTCGATACAAGGTAAATGGTAATAGGTATGAGCTAGGTTACTACCTAACTGATGGTATTTATCCTAGTTGGAAGTTGGTCTTAAGGTGATTCAAATGCCATGCATAAAACATGTGGATACCACCACAGAAGAAAATTTGAAATTTTATAGGGCAATAACAATTCTCTGTTAATAATCTTATTTATCATTTCTCCGGAAAAAATTAATCAAAATCATCCATTACTCCGGCAAATGTCCTACCCACCCCCAAAACTTCAAGGCAATCCCAAATGGTTCACCACTCTCAAAAGACCAATTTTATTTTCTTTCTTCCCAAACAGAAAAATGTATGTAGTTGGAATTCATTTTTCCAACTGGAATCTCTCTCTCCCTCACATCTACCAAGATTTTCTCAACAATAGCGAAAAACAATACTTGTTACTCAAAGATAAGTAGAAACTTCTATTCAAAACTCTTAGTGTTTTAATCACAAAGTTTTATACTTATGATCAGAACCGTTCATATTATGAATTACATTGTAAAGATCATCTCTGCAAAAAATAAATTAAAACTAAAGTTATTTAGTCAATCTATTCATACAAATACATAGACGGTCCGTAACGCTTTTACCAATACCTTTCATTTGTTTTTAAACAGTTTGATGACTAAACGATCTTAGTTTTAATTGATTTTTTGCAAATGTGATCTTTATAGGGTGATTTATAATATGAACAGTTCTGATTATAAACATGAAGTTCTATAAACAGTTCAGATCCAACGGACAGGATCTGGAGGCACTTTAGTCATTCTGCGTTTAGGGGTGGTTGCTATCGATGTCGTCAGAGGCATGGTTCTCAGAGGGGTTGATGGGTTGCAGGTAGAGAGAGGGTTGACGGGAGGGGTTCCAGGTGGACAGAGAAGGTGAGAGGGTGGGTGCGGTCATGATTGATATGGGGGTAAGGTTCTGGGAGAGGGACGCGTGTTTGCTGCAGAGAGAGAGAGAGGGGGGGAGGTATGGTTCCCCGGGGGGGGGGTTGAGGGGAAGGAGAGAGAGGTGTAGGTTGAGGTGCGGGTGTAGGGTTGGTTATTTCCACACCAAAAATCATCTTCCTCTTTTCAGTAAATAGAATTAGTACTAGCTGAACAGAGTTCCTCTCTGCAACTCCTCCTCCATTACTGCATTCGAATTTTCGACAATGGTGAGTAATTCAAACGCTTCTTTTGTTCGATCGTATTTATTTAATTTAATTTGAATTCTTTCCAATTTTGTTTTCGGTGTATGGGTTATGAATTTCCATGCTTTCGGTACTTATATGCAGCTGATTGCTTTCCTCGCTTTTTATCCATACCGTTTGGTTCAAAGAATCAAAACATGCATTGACCCGAGAAATCTTAAGAGTTGGTTCAAAGAATGCTTTCCTCGTGATTGACGATCTCTTCAATCTCTGTTTCGTTATCTCTTCAATCCCTGCTTTGTGAACTCTTCAACCTCTGCTTTGCTTCACCCCGCCATCTCATCTCCGTTGGTATTTCCACCGACCAATGAAGTGCTCGGAGTTTGAACATGAAATGCCCAGGAGGCCGCCCGGTGCAAGGTAGCCTTTCTTTTTTTACTTTTCTAGTTGAAATGTCAATGTGGGTTTGACCTAATTACTGCATTTGGTTTTGGTTGATGACAAGTATATTTGATCTCTGTTGCACACCTCGCCTTCTCATCGCCGTCGCACACCTTACTAGAACTTGAATTAATGGTAACGTATAAATTGTATGGATTTTGCGCCTATTTTAATTTAATATTCGTTAATGAAATTAGCGTTTAAGTTGAATAATTCATACTCTTTTGATATTGGAAATTAGGCTCGGATTTCTCAGTCATATGCTTCTTTGCTGTATAAGATGAGTTTGGGTTATATTACTCAGAAACGGGATATTTTTTTTTCAGTGAGAGAGTGAAAATCCCTAGCCTTTAGATTTTTAAGTATTTTGTCGGCAATAATAATTCCTTTTTGCAGCTTTATATGTGTGTATGTGTCCAAATATGAGGATCTTTTAATTTGCTTATGTAGCTTTTGTAATATGATGATCTCTTAATTTGCTTTTGCATATCTTCTTTGCTTCCTCTGCTAGCTCTATATGTGATTCTATCTCCAAATAATTATTCCACATTTCCTATTTTTATAGGAACCAAATCATTGAATACACATGGAAAATTAAAAGGGTTTTAGTTTTTGGATTGGTTTAAATTTTTTATTGTTATTGGTTGTATTGCTGTCAAATATTTGATGGGAGGTTTGAAATGGAGAACTTGGTTGATTGGGACAGAGAGAATCTGACAGCTGTAGACTTTGATTTACTGGCTTCGAAATGGAGAAGTTATTTCTCGGTTCACTTCCGCAGCGTAAACCAACTTTTCAATTCAGTTCTCAGATATGAGGTTTCTCAGCTACCTTTTTTTTGTAATAGTACTCGCGGCGATATCCCATTAATTACGTCAGTTTTTGTTTAATTGGGATTCTTAAATTTGATATTAGGGATTTTAATTTGATTGGGTTTTGGATTGCATTGTACACTGTTTTGGGTATCTTTAGCTAAATAGGATCTTTTTTGGGGATTCTAGAAGTTTAGTTGAACGCTAATATTAAATTTATAACCCCTGTGGTGCCTCTCTCTCTATTTTAATTTGAGTTGGGGATGTTGGACAATGAGCAATTCGGAGATTTATCAAAATTGCAATTTGTCATTTCCACGGACCACCTATAATACTGGCTTACATTTTTCTTCTTTTTTCTTTGCCTATAGTAATATTATTGTTTATTTCCAAGATCTGAGTTTGTCATTCAGAAGAGATGCCTCATTCAGAAAATTGAAATTTCCCAAATCTTTGTTAATAGTTGTATCCCTTGCAGAAGGATTTAATTTTTTTGGATGTCTACTTTTGAGCTTTAAGTTTTCCTTGTATGCAACATTACTAGGCAAAAAAAAGCACAGTGTCGTGGAGTAATTAGGACTGTTTCTGTTCCATTTTTTAATGTTGAATTGACAAGTGGTTTTAAAAAATGGATATTTTTTTTTACTAGGTTTAGTTTCTATGTTTGGTTTGAGAGTAAATTCAGAGAGCTAAAAGGCAGTAAAGTTTGAATATTTACGTTTAATGTTGTTTTGGGTTTGGATTAATTTTGTTTGTTTGATATTAGAAATTGAGTGATAGGGAATTTGCACTTTTCTCCCTTTTGAATACCGTTTAACTCATTTCTCATTTTCTGTTTGGTTTCCAAGAAAATCGAGGGAAAAAAGGATAGAAGAGTAATGAATTCACTGAATTGAGTGCTTTAAGTCCATTTATGATTGAAGTTATTCCCTTTTCATTTCTGTTTTTGTTATTTTGGGTTTCGAGCACGTTGAGGGTGGTAAGATCAATTATTTTGATTTTGGAAGTCTACTTTGTTTTTCAGCTTTAGTGCTTGGGAGAAGCGAAAATGTGATTTCATGTATGGTGGTTGTATTTGTCCGTCATTTGAAAGGAATTCAGACAGAGAGAGAAGGGAGAGGGTAGGTTTGTTGTCAGTGGGATCGAAGGATGGTCTGATGTATCCTTGCAGGTGAACTACATGCTCGCGCACCCTCATCCAGTGGAACCTGTAACTGATAGATGCAGGTTTATCCTAATTCTCACTAAATTGGAGCGTATCTTTATTGGACTCCTCATGTTAAAACATCATGCGCCTACATTACTCTTAATAAGATTCCTTTACATTAAGTTTATTGAGCAGTATAATCTTATTTAAGTTTTAATTGTGCATTTTGATTTGTATCCAGGGTGACTGAATGTTATTTGTTTTGCATATATTTTGTTCTATGCGTAGAGGGGAACATTGGTGAGCTTATATACTCTCTCATTCTTGCAATCTCTAATGATTTAGTGAATCCTATTATCCTATTGTTGGAACAATTCAAAGAGTGTTTTAGCCGGTATTTCCTTTCGTTATTGGCTCCTAGGGTAGATTTTCCCCCTTACCCAGTTTACTGTTGTGAATTTGACCTGTAATTATACATAGAAGATATTGGGGGTGAAAACTTGTAAAAGGATGTTTTCAGAATCATCTAGATAATACCTCTTTAATTCTCACTTTCTCCTTAATGGCACGTTTATGTAACCGTAATCAAAATAGAAGGAATTGAGTTGAGGGGGAATTGGAATGAAGATGAGTCAGAATGAATCTGTTGAAGCTGTTTACTAAAATGTTCAGGAATCGGAATATGAATGAAACTAAGTTGTTTACTAATTCAGCTGAATCGAAATAGAAATAAGTATGATTACTAAATTTTTATGTCTAAAAACATTTTAATTAGAAATTTTTATTTATTTAATTAAAGTAGAGTTAAATTGTCCATTATTGATATATTGTCTATAAATTAGATTATAATATAATTTAAATCAAAATCCTAGCCACATTCATCTTCCTACCCTGCACAAGAAAGCACCCAGAAACCTTCAGAGCTGTCAAGACCTTCCAACCCCGCAGAAGAAAGAACCCAAAAATTCGAAGAAATTCATTTGCTCATGCCTATTTCTTTCTCAGGTTTGGTGTTATGGAATCAATTGGTGGGTTTTCGGCGAAGTGATTCGATGGTCATATCAGGTAGTGGGGGTTAGGCAATTTGAAGAATTTGGGTTGCAAATGTATTGTGGCCTGGGTATGGTATTGGTTATGCAGTAGTGATGAAGAGGGGTGATGGAGAAGGGAGATGGAGAGGGAGAATGGTTGGGAGTGAGATGGCTGGTGAAGGAGATGAAGGGCAGTATTGGAATAATAAAAACCAAGTGAGGGCATAATTGATAAAAGAAGTCGATTCCGGATTCCCCACCAGTCCAAGAATTCAATTACCTCCCTTATCTAGGGAGTCCAATTCCTCCAAAACGAGGAGTTGGATTCCTTAATGCTTGTGGATTCCACATGTATTTTGATTCCCCAAGATTACGTAAACAAAGGTGTATCCCGTAATCGGAATCCAATTCCGTAAATTGATTTCGATTACGGGTACGAAAATGGTAGCATACTTATCAGCTCGGTTCCCTCATATCTTGGTCATTTAAATTCTTTAGAAATGCCTATATTGATATATGATTTTGTTGGATTTACTCTGGTGAAATGTGTGTTATTTGGATTTGTGCATTTTAGGGTGCGACTCCGTTTGTACCATCTTTGTAGTGCATCTTTCTGTGCAAATTATTCATGCCTGTTGTGGACAGCGGCCAATTTTTTTAGTTATAACCTATAAGATTTTGTCAAATTCAAATCCAAATATAAGTTTCAATATAATACATAAGTTATATTGTGGAGCACCAATGTAACAACGAAATATAAATTTTTCCATCTACAATGCAGGGTTTGAACTTTGAACTTAAAATTCAAACTTGAGTGTACAAATTGGAAGAGAATGTGAAAACTCAAATCATTTTTCGATCCAAATGTGAGAATATAGATACGTGAATACGAATTTTAGGATTATCTGTAGGAGTATACATCCATGTGTTTTATAACCATTTCTCCTTTTAAATATAATATTTGCTTGAGGTTAGGATTAGGAAAGTCAAGAAGAATAAACTGAACATTTCTTTGCCCAAACACAAAGTGATAAGGACTTGGAAACAATGTGATCCAAACAAACAACCAGCCGAGAAAAGATAAACAGAAAAAGACTCGAAAAACAAACAATTAATTTATAGCCATGGTTCAGTGCAATATATGACATATATACTTGGCCAACTGCTCTTTTAGCTAGAAGTGAACCATTGCGGAATCTGTGGTCTGAGATAGGCTGGGAAACTTAAAACAAATGCTTGGTAGGTTTTCTCTTATGGCATTATAAATTATCAATTTTCATCTTATCACTATGTCATCAATCTTCAATCGTTGTATCGTCTAAATTTAACGTTTAATCAGTTTATAATAATTGAAATTTTATTTATGAGAATTTTAGCCATTTTTATCAAGCCTCATGTGGAAATAAGGGTACTTTTGGAAGGGAAACTTCCTCATTAAGGTTGCCAAAACCCTTCCGGTGGGATTAGGGTGCATGCGCAGTAAAATTTTAGATTAATATTCGTTTTTGTTGGTATTTTTTATTTTTATTTTGATCTAATGGTCCATATTTTTTTAATTCTTCAAATCCAACGATATAGAATAAAGATTCAATGGATGAAATTTAAATTCAACGTCAAAATAATAAAATAAAAATTTTAAGACAATCCACTTTAAAAAAATTATTTTCCAATCCCATCACCAAGACAAGGCGAACACTTTTAGCTTATAGGAACTATCATTTATATTTTCAGTTAGTGTTTAAGTTTTTAGTTTATGTTATGAATTATCATCTATATTAACGTTTTGGTTGGTTGAGTGATTGATTGGTGTGATTTGTTCGGTTTTAAATTTTTTTGTTGAAATTTAAAATTTTTTTATATTAAAATATTTGTAAAATTAAATTAAGATATCATAACTCAAAGTTACAAAAAAAATCCTTTCTGAAAAAAAAAAATAGGGTTAAATCAATTCCACAACAGTTAATATATTTTAGGTCTTGAGGGTTGAGTAACATTCACTGTTCATAGACTTAAATTCTGTCTTTTAGTAAACTTAAATATTTGAGTTTGGGGCCACTAAGTACTACGGTCTGATGATATTCCTCTTCAATTGGAAGTGTGAGGTTTTAAATTCGAATATTGTAAATGGCGAATTCGTACCAAATTAGGTTGCTCTTTGTGTGACTTAGCCGAACTCCCCTCCCCTTAATATAAAATATCAATGTACTCAAAAAAAAAAATTTGAGTTTGGGTCCAAAAATTGAAGTTGGTCTTATCGAGAGATTACATGTGAAAAGCCATAATAAATTATCTATACTAAAGCTCAATAAGGAAAATAAACATTGTTTCTAAGTACAGTGAAAGGACAAAAAAGCCCCTGTTTCACTATTATTTTTTAGTGCTATTTTTTTAGCTGCATAGTAAGATGGCCAAAAAGTCCTACCTCTTCAATTTGTCGATAAATTTTTTCTTGTGCATGTAACATAAGTGCTATATCATGTGTTATTGTTATTATATTAGTAGTAAAAAAAATTTAATTTTTATGTTATTAATTTTTTAAAACAAAAATCTTACTATTTATATAAAAACACATGACACTCTAGATATACTTATATAAAAACAAAACTCTCGTGTTGTTTTGAGCACAATGAAAACAAATTCCAATTTGTTGACCCACGGTTTCTCTAGATATACTTCCTAGTTCGTACATCGTTTTTCTCACCGCTAAAACCCTCAACGCGCTGCTTGCCTCTACTCTCCCCGTCTTCCTCCTTGCCTCATATGCTAAAATCTCTTCGATTCTACCAACTGCCGCAACCGTTCAGACTTTCCAAAGGTAAATTCTTTTCTCTTCCTCACAAAATTTGATATTGATTTTGAAAATAGTGAAAACCCCATAAAACAAACTGACTTTCTCAACCGAAGATTATGATATATGTTTCTAAGCGATTTGCCTTTGGAAAGTAAAAAACAGACTGAGCAATTATAAGATTTGACCAAGTAAATGGTTTCGCATTTGATTATTTAGGATAATTACATGCGTGAGGATTATTAAATGATATATTTTAAGGTAGAAGCCTTTAGATTAGAACTCATTTTATGGTTTTGCATTAGAAGACAATCTGTACTCAACTTCTTGGGCAAGTTTGGAGGAAATCTGCTCTTAGTTGATGCTCTGTCTCCGTCATTTTTGCCTGCTTTAATATGCTTTCTTCTGATCTCTAACTTTTTAAATTTTTTATTTTTGTTTTATTAATTTGATTCGGAATATTTTCAGAGAATAGCTTCAATTGAGTTAGGTTTTGCTCAATTTAATCTCATTAGTTTCATTCCAATTCAATGATTTTGTGCAGCGCTGAGTTTTCGGTTGGAGAATAAATTTTCTTCATAGTTCATTCAATTTTGTTTTATTTTCTAATTTGGATTTGAAATTGAGACTCCTAGCTTTGCCCTCATCAAGAAAATTTTATTGATTCCAATTGATAAATGTTACCTGGATGGGAAAGGGATCGCCAATTTGAAATCAGCTCTTCAGGTATGCATTCATTCCAGATTTAAAACATCACTTCCGTTTAGTATGTTGTTTATCATGTTTGATCATAACAACGTCATGCGGTGTTAATGTCCGTCCTTTTAGTTGTTAAAATCTGCTTTTTTGAGTTGTACATAGTACTCTTAACGTAGAATTAGTAAAATGCAGGTGCAGAATGAACGGCTAATCAATGTGGGAAACTTTTGGAAATGTATAAAACTGTAACTTAGAAATCTCCCTTTTGGATTGCACATATGCTCTTGATGCAAGCAAAGTAAATAAAATGTAATGTAACTTAAAGACTTATTTTACTATGTTGGTTTAGCTGTTCTGTTAATTTTTGAAATATTTAGAAATGAATGGGTTGATTTGTGATTTTATGGAATTTTCAAAAGTATCTATTATGTGTATAGTGATAACTAGTAATATGCCCGCGCGATGCTGCGGGACTTGAATACATCAGCCTTAACTACATGAATAAGACACATTTAACCTGAAAAACATTCAACATAATCATGAACAAACAAAAAGGATAAACAACATAGAGTCTACTGTTGCTGCCTCAGCTGCATCTTGAACGGGTAGAATACCAATTAACCCCTTCTGTTCCTGCTGCCATAACTCATGCATGCTCCACCAATTTGACCAATTTTATCAATTCGATAATCCACCAGTTAGAAAAACCCAACTTACAAACCGCATAACGATCAATTACCTAGAAAAATGAAAAAGGAAAGTTGGCATTTGAAATTAACTCTGGTCAAATTGAAGAACAAAATATGCAAAAATTTTGCAGTAAAAAGTAATAACGTATGATCCTTCAATGTTTCACCCATAAAATTCCAAATCTATCAATGTTTCACCATATAATTCCAAATCTATAAACACAAAAACGCAGAACAAAGTAAAATTACTTATAAAACCGTGTGCGTGGGAAGCATTTTTATCAAACAGGTAGTGGGCACTAAGCATTCAATTTGACATAATCGAGCTCATCTACACTTGTTTATCCATTGAACAAAAGAGACACTATGAATGTAAATGTTGTTTTTAAACTCAAATCGGACGCGTAAACGTACTCTTAACATGGTTCGGAAATTTTATTTCATCAAGTGATTTCAAAATTCAACAAATTGAATAAATCAGAACACAGAAGAAATATGAAAAATTACATTTAGAAGAACTGGAAAACAAATTTACATTTTTGGGTATTTGTGTTAACCCAAATGAAGGAATAATACCATCCCAGGAAACTCGTGCATCCTCTCAACGAAGCTTTGCTGGCTCTCTATTTTTCTCACCTGCAATTAAGAGTCTAGACCCCCTAATTTATCAATAAACAAATAAACATTGTTAAAAACCCAAAATTACCCAATTGGAATAATGATAACAATTGGACAAAGCAGAAGAAACCGTAGAGAATCAACAGTTCAGAGTCCACAACCTGATACTTTTACCGAGTTCATACAGCTAAAGGAGCAATACAATTACTAAATTGTAAAGAAAAATCTTCAAAAAATAGCATCTAATAGCACATCAGATAGTAAACTTGGAATTAACTACAGATTCTGCAAGACAGCATTTAAGATAGATGTGTAAACAATATGGAATCAAATCTCCACCTAAATGGGTTGTTGGAGAACCTGCAATCCTTGAAAATTGTTGTAATTCAAATCCAAGTAATTAAGATGATTCAAATGGAGCAAAAAGGATTTATCTTACCACCCAACCAAGTATTACTGTTGTTGAAATCCCAATCATAGAGGTGGAAATCCTACTGAAAATTGGGATTAGTGAGGCGAAGTTGAAGGATCTTGATATGTCAAACGACAATTTAAATAAAGATATATCCGTTATGTTTGAGAGTTTGTCTATTTGTAGTTCGGAGAGAATAAAGTCATTATCGTTGGGGTTTAATAATCTTTCAAGCCATTTTACAGGACTCTTCCCAGTTCAATATCAAGTCTCATCCCAGTTTAACAGGACTCTTCCAGAAAGTATTGGTCAACTTAAATTGCTAATTAAATTAGATATATCTCATAATTCAATGAAAATTAAACATACCAGGTGAGCAATACCAGACATTCCTGCCTTCACGCAACTGGATATTGTCTCCATGTTCAACTAAACCTCCACAGAAAACTGCAAAAAAACTGATGAGAATCATTTAGAAACGGGGAAAAACCGATATTAATAAATAAAAAAGAAGTCGGAGAAAAAATAGAGAGAAAACAATTCCTTTTGCAGAGCCATCCTCTTGATTTACATAGCTAAAAGGTAGCGTTTAATGACAATTAAACACGCATTTAGTTCCTCCATGTTTTTTACATAATCTCTTTTTATATTTGCAAATATAACTTTCAAAACCGAAACTCTCTCTAATTTCACACAAAAATGTAAATTTGCACAGTAATTACTACAATTTGAAGCAAAATTCAAGTTACCCAATACTCCAATTCAACAATTAACAAAAAAAACCAATATTCCCAACGAAGAAAACAAAACACAAACAAATGAAACCCGAAATAAAGAATCTACACTTTGTAGAGAAAGATAACTTTACCTCCCTCCATGCACAGTAATTGAAATTCCAGATAATGGGTTTGTTGGGTGGTAACGGTGATTTTGCTGCAAGAGAGAGTTGGAGAAAATGGACAAAAATGTTAGTAAAATGAAGAACAAAAACCATTAATCAGACAACCCAAATTCAGTTTTCCATTTAGCATTTTTCCAAAAGAAGGCAATCAATTGCTGACACATGTAAAAAATCAGAGTTTGAAAACTAAAAATCAAGCAAGTTGAGGAGCAGAAGCAGGTGACTGTGGACGATACAGAAGTTTTTTAGAGAAGATCAAAATATATAATCTAGAAAAACAAATAAAGCAGCCAATCCAAAGTTAAATAAACAGAAAGAAAAAAGGGGAGAAAAAGACAACCTGAATTCAAAGTGTTCCACATGCTGTATTCAAATTGATTACAAAATGATTACATATCTGAAATTGATATCAACTCACCTAAACACTTCATTTTCTATATTCTATTGGGTTTAATTTTTTTTTTCTTTTTTTTTTCATTTTTACCATACCAATCTGTGCATTTTTCTGTCAGTATGCCTTAACTTTTGAGTCACTATATACACCTACTATATAACCCCCCCTCTCTCTCTCCAGCTATCCTTTTAAATGGCTTTATCATAAACCCATGCTCACTTTCACCCAACAACAAAAGAAACAGAGGAGAAAGGAAGACACCACATTTAATTAATTCATGATTCTGTCTAATTAGCTTTGATTGAACTGGAAAGCATAAAAAGAAGGTCATACATTATCAGCAGATGTTCATGCAGTGCAGCTGAGTTCTTCAAATCATTAAAAACATCCTACTTTATTTCAATTGAAAACTAAATCAAATAAGATAATCCAAAAGCACACAGAAAACCCACAAAATTAGAAAGGCAAAATTTAAAAACAACCCCCAAACTTACAAAAGCAAAATTTAAACACAATATTCATCCCTAAATTGAAAACCACGCATCCAAAAAAATAAATTAGATGCACTAACAAAGCTAAAAAATATGGCCAATATCAAACTCACCTTGATGCCCAGTGGATCTGGAACCATGGTTGGAGAAGAAGAGAGAATGAAGCTGCCCTAAAGGTCACCGAGCATCAGGTTCTGAGTGGGAGGTGAAATAAATAAAAAAAAAAAAAGGAAATTTCAATCTATTTGTAAATCCAAAATCACAAAACCCCATATTTGAGCAAAACAAAACCCCCAAGATACTCGAAAAACTTACAGGATTGACGATTTCCTGAAAACCAAGCTTTTCTAGGTTAAAAATTTCTTCCCGAAGGCAACAAATCTAACATACTTGGAAAGAAAATTCGATCACGAATTGGAAAAAGAAAAAGAAAAAACTGAGAGTGAGAGAGAGACGAACCTTCATACGGAGGCTAGCGATCCGGAGCCCGAGAAATCTGTGGAAGCAAATGGAAGAGCCCTGATTTTCCATCTTTCTTCCGTTCTAGGATGAGAGAAACGGAAGAGATGGAGTTATGGCCGCTAGGGTTTGAGAAGGACAGAAACAGGAAGAGTGAGAGATGAGAGAGATGAGAGAGAGAGTCGGGAGAGATGGGGGGGGGGAAAGAAAAGGCAGTGGTAATTTTGTAAATAAAGTGAAATTCGACTCAAACCTACGGACACAATTACCCTCTTAACTTTTAATGATTACCCTCCAACCCAGACACAGATTTGGTGGCTGTGATGTAAATAAGGCAAAATCAAGGGAGAAAATTTTGACTGTAGCTAAGCTACAGTCAAATCCCTCCTCAATTTTAGAATAGATAATGTGTTTGTGAATGCAGTTAAGCTGTTGGTAGCTTTTGAGTATCAATTGATTATTATGTACTGTTATTCAAACTCTTTTTTTTTGGGAAATCATTCATATTTGCTATAAACTACGAATTTAAAACCCACAACGGAGCGCGACACTTTTGCTAGTTTTGACCTAGAAGCAAATGGAAACGGGAAACGTATTTCCAATTACTTAGTTGGTAACTGAGTTTGATCAAGTAGAAATATTATACAAAGCAAACTTATAGAACTTATTGTAATATAACATAACAACATATGCTGAAGCACCAGAGATTATAAAAAACATGACATTGGCCTTGAGGGCCGAAACATTTCTCTAACCGGTAGACACATCAAGCTAAGTTCGGCGTCCCCTCGTCACCCTTGCGGTTCTTGGCTTCCTCCTCCTGCTGAATGTCTCCACAAACCATTCATGCTTCTTGTCTGCCAATGTGTTTCCAGCAACCACTCCCACTATTAGTCCGCTAACAACTCCTGGCAAGACTACATACCAGTCAAACTCAAATGGAGATCCAGCCTCTTCATCTTCTTCAAAGCTTGATGGTGGCGGCAGCCTCGAGATCTCAGAACCCTCACATTTCTTGGACAAAGGCTTTCCACACAAACCTGAGTTTCCTTGGTATGAATCTTCTAGGAATGTACCAAATTGTTGGCCAAGTGGTATAGGCCCCCAAAGATGGTTATGCGACACATTGAAGTACTCAAGGAAAGTGAGTTGTGCCAAACTACTGGGGATCCTTCCTGAGAGCTTGTTTTGAGAGAGATCCAACGATTCAAGAGCAATCAAGTTCCCAAGAGATGAGGGGATGTGACCAGAGAGAGCGTTGTTGGAGAGGTTTAGCAACTGAAGTTCTCTTAGACTCCTAATGATACTTGCTGGAATCTCTCCTTCAAATCTATTACTTGAGAAATCTATGAGTCTCAGATTATAGGGGGTCTTATCATATGTCAATTCAACACCTTTTACAGGAATTATCATATTGTAAGAAATTTGATAGTAATCTCCATATTTATTTGTGCTGACGTTCGAAGAGATTCTAAAGTACCGGCTTCCCTTGTTTGCGACAACATATTTCATGAAATTCCAGTTCTCCATGTACATAGAAGGCAACATACCTGAAAACAGATTGTTGGATAAATCAATGATGCACAAGTTTGGGAACTCATGATTAGTTGGAGGCTTCCCAATTATCCCATGAAATGCATTCGACCCCAAAATGAGACCCCTCAATACTGAAGTACCCCTAACCAAGAAGGGAAGATGTCACTGATCTGATTGTTGCCAATGTCAAGAAACTCTAACCGAGTGCAATCGGCCATTGATCTTGGTAGCTTCCCCTGTAACCGATTGTAACCCAACCCAACCAATTTCAAATTATTTTTGTTAGCACAAAATGGAGGAATATCGCCGTGGATAGAATTAAACATCAATTGCAGTATTTCCAAGCTATTGGACTTCCCCAAACACTCTGGAAGCATGCCACTCAGATTGTTGTTGGCCAAACTAAGAACTTGAAGATAATTCAAGTCGCAGAACAATGGTAAAACTTCTCCACTATAATTATTGATGCTGACAATGTAAGACATGATAGATTGTGGTGGAATTGGCAATGACCCTTGTAACCGATTATTCTCAAGATTAAAAACCTGCAGATTTTTCCATGGAAGAGTGACTGGATTTCCCTCAAAGCCTGTTAAGAAGTTATGATCGAGGTCGAGATTGACCAAAGTTTCTCTAGTTGCATTCCAGACCCATTTTGGTATTTGGCCATGAATATTGTTACCAGAAAGTTCTAGGGCTCCCAATTCATATTGATTTTTCAAAAATTCTGGAAATTCTGTCAAGTTACAAGCAGCCAACCTTAGAAATTCGAACTTTGGAAGAGTATCACTCGAACCAGATTTGACACGCACGGATAACCTGTTGTACGATAAACCAAGTATCTTCAACTTTTTGAGGTTGGAAAACTCATCAAACTCAACTAATCCACTCAAATTATTAGAGGAAAGGCCAAGATATTCAAGATTTCTGAGGTGGAAAAGCGACTTAGGAACTGCTCCTTGCAATTCGTTGAAGCTGAGATGCAGAAAAGTTAATTGGGTCGACTCTACTGCAAGCCAAGATGGGATTTCACCAGTTAATGTATTGGCAGATAAATCTAGAAACGCAAGTTGGGTCAGGTTAGCCACAAAACGTGGGAAATTTCCCTGTAAGTTAATACCCGAAAGATCCAAGTGGTTGAGCTTGGTTAGTTTTCCAAAATAGGACAAGGAATTGGAAACTATGAATTGGCCTGCGGAAACGTTATGAAATGAAGTCATCTTAAGGAAACTGAGCTGGGTAAGGTTTCCCAAAGAAAATGGAACATGGGAATCAAAACCACAGTTTGAGATATCAAGGTAATTTAAGGAATGAAGGTTTCCGATAGAACTAGGAAGTTCACCAGAGAAATTTGTCATTGAAACAACCAATGTTTTGAAAGAATTGGTCCTGTTGAAAGGAGGAAAATAACCATTTAGCTTTATGTTCGAGTATAAACTGAGCTCCTCTAGGTTTGGTAGGTGGAAAATGCCTACTGGGAATTCCCCATACAACCCACAGTAGCTTAGGTTGAGAGATGTGAGAAAAGATGCATTGACCAAGATATCAGGCACAGTGGAGTATATGCCTACATGACTAAGATGAAGTTGTTTTATGCTGGTCAAGTTTTGGACTAGGATTCTCAGGATGGACTTCCTAAGCTCCAAACCATTATTGTAAGACAGAACAAGGGTAGACAGTTTGGATAGCTTTGAAATTTCAGATGGAATTTGGCCAGAAAATGCAGACCGTGAAAGGTTGAGATAAGACAGATTCGATAGGTCATGGCCCAATCTTGATGGTATTTCAGAGGAATTAAAGTTGTTATCTGAGAGGTCAAGCATTTGCAAGTGAACAAGTTGGAAAAGGGTGCTGCTGGAATTGATAGAACCATAAAGACAGCTGCTCTTGAGGTCGAGGCCAATGACACGGCCAGACTCCGCATGGCACTCAACACCATCCCACGAACAACAGTTACTCTGATTTTGATCTCCTTCTTGAGCCCAAGATGCAACCTTCAGATAAGCAAAAGGAGATGAAGAAGCTGACTTGTCTATCGTAAAGCTTTCCTTGAATTGTAACAAGAATGATTGCTCGTCAGCGTGGCAAAGTGTGTGTGTCTGAGTCTGCACAAATGAAAAACAATGAGTAGCATTGAGTAATAGCAAAAGAAGACAATGCAAATAGGTAAACTTGGACAACCAAGATTCCATTTTCATGGCAGTGTGTTTTTCTGGTTATAGGAAATATTGTTTTATGGCTCTCGGATAATTAAGAGTGGAGAAGTTAACTCCTTTTATAGACACAACCCATGCAAAGCATAAATAAATAAAAAAGCATGAGTCGATTGATGAATGGGTGGTGAATTGATGTCTTGATCAATTGAAGACTTGGAAGTCATGAATTCTTTTTCAAGATTCTTGGAAACGTTTGTTTTGACTCGAAGTAAGTACTTGTTTGGTACTGAGGTGCTTTTATAAAAAGTGGGTATAAAAAAAAGCTGAGCTCAAAAAGGTGTTTGATAAACACTTAAAATCAGCTTATTTTCACAGTTTTGGGTGAAAAAAAACTGAAAACGTGAAGCAGCAAATGAGCTTATTCTCACATCACAGCAAAAACAGTTTTTTTTAAAGCACAGCAATACCAAACCAGCCTTGAGTCATTTGGATGTAACAACTCTAGCTAGCCTAGCCACTATAGGAAAGTTTTGAGAATGGGAGAATTAGTGCCACGCTAGAACATGTAACTCTTGAAGGTAGAATATATATTACTCATTACAGAAACTTATCCATTTCAATCAATCCGCCCAAAAAATGGGAGAATTAGTGCCACGCCCTGATCTTGAGAATCCTCTAGAAACATGCTAACATTTGGAACATCAAAACATAATGGGAAAATCAATAAACAAGGCACCACAAAGTCCACATTAGATAATAGTCAAGGGCGTCTAATTTGGTTGAAGCTTCGTCCAACTTGTGTCTCAATTGTTCATGAATGTGACTATAACAAACACCGTCAAACACTTTGTGGTAATAGTCAAAGGCGTATAATTTGGTTCAAGACTATAAGCCTTAATCAATTAGTAGCAAAAAATATGGTTTCACACTAATCTCCTGACGAGAATGTTTACGGTGACAGTGAAAGAGTGTAATTTGGTTCAAGACTTTAAGCCTTAAAAGTGGATCCATGCATAAGACTAGAAGGGAGATGGAAGAGGCAGGGGAAAGGAGGTAGTAGGGACCCGTCGACTGGTGAGAGCTTCGACTATTGTTTTAATTTTTAATTTTTTTTATTATAAAAAAAATTTCAGTAAGCCCATATCAATTCCAGAACATTTTAAGTTTAAAACCGAAATTAGGCATAATCAAAGATGGACCATTTCATCAGAATATGTGAAAGGTCTCAAGACATACCAAGAAAAAGGTAGGCAACAAAAAGAAATTAAACGCAGAAACTCAACAAAATAAACAATTTAGAGGTTAAGCATCTAAGGTACAAGCTTAAAGATCATAGAAAATAAGAACTTACAGAGATTATCAGGCAATTTCTGGTTTTTGAATTTGGGATTAAATGATTCAAATAAGCACTTGAAAGAGTGATTGATAACAAAGAGTGATTGATTCAAATAAGCACCTGAAAATTTCCTGGACCGGAAGCTGAGTTTTCGACTGGCTCATGAGGAGGGATCGAGATCGAGAGCTCTCTGTGCTCGTGCCCTTAGTCTTAGGTGTAGCCGCCTCCGCCGCAACATGACCGGAAGACCCAGATGGAGAAAATCCGGAAAGACGAAACCCGCGGGAAGGAATCGTCCTCATCAACGGGTGGTGGTGAACGAAAGGCATTCGGACCTGGACTTGCTGCTGCAGGGGCTGGGTGGCAAGGATAGTCAGCCGCCGGTGTCGAAGGCGTCAATCCACGCCATGCCGTGTGTCAAGATTTGGGAATCATATTTGGGTTCAAATAGGTTGTGTAAATTTCAACTTTGATGATGGTGATGCAAAAAGGGTGATGCAGAAAGAAGGGGATGGCTGGTTGTGTTGCAGAAAGAAGGAGATGAAGATGGAGCATTTGCTCGGGTGGGAGAAGAGGGGTGGGCCAATTTTTATTTTGTTTTAATTTAAATTTTCATTAAATTGTTTTTTATAATTAATTATTTTTATATGCCACATCATCAAATATGTGTATCATACATTTGCTACGTCATCACTTAACGGTTAAATTAACGGTTTAACTAACGGATACATGAAATTATAACAAAATATAAGTTTGTGTATGTGATTGAAATGTTTTAAAAATTATAACAAATGGACATTGAAAATGCAATGCCAACTACTTTATTGATAACATTGAATATTTTTTTTTTTAGTACATTGATAACATTGAATTTGATCAAGTAGAAATACAATACAAAGCAAACTTAGAACCTCACTATTGTAATATAACGTAACATATACTTAGACAAAAAAAAAAAAAAATAGGAAGCACCAGAAGAAATCATATAAAAACAAGACATTGGCCTTCAAGGCCCAAACACTTTTCTAACCGCTAGACGCATCAAGCTAGGTTCTGCGTCCCCTCCTCGCCCTTGTGGTTGTTGGCTTCCTCCTCCTGCTGAATTTCTCCGCAAACCATTCATGCTTTTTGTCTGCCAACGTGTTTCCAGCAACCACTCCCACTATTAGTCCGCTAACAACTCCTGGCAAGACTACATACCAATCAAACTCAAATGGAAATCCAGCCCTTTCATCTTCTTCAAAGCTTGATGGTGGCGCCAGCCTCGAGCTCTCATAACCCTCGCATTTCTTGGACAAAGGCTTTCCACACAAACCTGAGTTTCCTTGGTATGAATCTTCTAGAAATGTACCGAATTGTTGGCCAAGTGGTATAGGTCCCCAAAGATGGTTATGTGACACATTGAAGTACTCAAGGAAAGTGAGTTGTGCCAAGCTACTGGGGATCCTTCCGGAGAGCTTGTTTTGAGAGAGATCCAACGATTCAAAAGCTGTCAAGTTCCCTAAAGATGAGGGGATGTGACCAGAGAAAGCGTTGTTGGAGAGGTTTAGCAACTGAAGTTCTCTTAGACTCCCAATGATACTTGCTGGAATCTCTCCTTCAAATCTATTACTTGAGAAATCTATGAGTCTCAAATCATAAGGGGTCCGATAATATGTCAACTTAACACCTTTTACAGGAATTATCATATCGTATGAAAATTGATAGTAATTTCCATATTTATTTGTGCTGACGTTCGATGAGACTTCAAAGTACCGGCTTCCATCGTTTACGACAACATATTTCATGAAATTCCAGTTCTCTATGTACTTAGAAGGGAACATACCTGAAAACAGATTGTTGGATAAATCAATGATGCACAAGTTTGGGAACTCATGATTAGTTTGAGGCTTCCCAATTATCCCATGAAATGCATTCGACCCCAAAATGAGACCCCTCAATACTGGAAGTACCCCTAACCAAGAAGGGAAGATGTCACTGATCTGATTGTTGCCAATGTCAAGAAACTCTAACCGAGTGCAATCGGCCATTGATCTTGGTAGCTTCCCCTGTAACCGATTGTAACCCAACAAAACCAATTTCAAACTATTTTTGTTAGCACAAAATGGAGGAATATTGCCATGGAAAGAATTATAAGTCAAGGCCAGCATTTCCAAGCTACTGGACTTCCCCAAACACCGTGGAAGCATGCCACTCAGGTTGTTGTTGCCCAAATTAAGAACTTGAAGATAATTCAAGTTGCAGAACAAAGGTGAAACTTCTCCACTATAATTATTGTTGCCGACATTGTAAGATATGATAGATTGTGGTGGAATTGGCAATGACCCTTGTAACCGATTAGTGTCAAGACTAAAAAGCTGCAGATTTTTCCATGGAAGAGTGACTGGATTTTCTTCAAGGCCTGTTAAGAAGTTATAATCGAGGTTGAGATTGACCAGAGTTTCTCTAGTTGCATTCCAGAGCCATTTTGGTATTTGGCCATGAATATTGTTATCATAAAGGTCTAGGGCTCCCAATTCGTATTGATTTTTCAAAAATTCTGGAAACTCTGTCAAGTTGCATTCAGCCAACTTTAGAACTTCAAACTTTGGAAGAGTAGCACTCGAACCAGATTTGACACGCACGAATAACTTGTTGTCCGATAAACCAAGTTTCTTCAACTTTTTGAGGTTGGAAAACTCATCAAACTCAACTAATCCACTCAAATTATTAGAGGAAAGGCCAAGAAATTCAAGATTTCTAAGGTGGAAAAGCGATTTAGGAATTACTCCTTGCAAATTGTTGAAGGTGAGCCGCAGAAAAGTTAATTGGGTCAACTCTAATGCGAGCCAAGATGGGATTTCACCAGTTATTGAATTGTCAAACAAGTCTAGAAACGCAAGTTGGGTCAGGTTAGCCACAAAACGTGGGAAATTCCCTTGTAAGTTAATATCCGAAAGATCCAAGTAGTTGAGCTTGGTTAATTTTCCAAAACAAGACAAGGAATCAGGAACTAAGAATTGGCCTGCGGAAACGTCATGAAATGAAGCCATCTCAAGGAAACTGAGCTGGGTAAGGTTTCCAAATGAAGATGGAACATGGGAATCAAAACCACTGTATGAGATAGATATCAAAGTAATTTAAGGAATGAAGGTTTCCGATAGAACTAGGAAGTTCACCAGAGAAATTCGTCCAAGAAACATCCAATGTTTTGAAGGAATTGGTCCTGTTAAAAGTAGGAAAATAACCATTTAGGTCTGTATTCGAGTATAATATAAGCTCTTCTAGGTTTGGTAGGTGGAAAATGCCAACTGGGAATTCCCCATTCAACCCACAGTAGCTTAGATTGAGAGATGTGAGAGAAGATGCGTTGACCAAGATATCAGGCACAATGGAGTATATGCCTACATCATTAAGATGAAGTTGTTTTATGTTGGTCAAGTTTTGGACTAGGATTCTCATGTTGGACTTCCTAAGCTCCAAACCATTATTTTGAGACAGATCAAGGGTAGACAGTTTGGATAGCTTTGAAATTTCAGATGGAATTTGGCCAGAAAATGCAGACAGTGAAAGGTTAAGATATGATATACTCGAAAGGTCATGGCCCAATCTCGATGGTACTTCAGAGGAATTGAAGTTGTTATCTGAGAGGTCAAGCATCTGCAAGTGAACAAGTTGGAAAAGGGTGCTGTTGGAATTGATAAAACCATAGAGACAGCTGCTCTTGAGGTCAAGGCCAATGACACGGCCAGACTCCGCATGGCACTTAACACCATCCCACAAACAACAGTTACTCTGATTCTGATCTCCTTCTTGAGCCCAAGATGCAACCTTCGGATAAGCAAAAGGAGATGAAGAAGCTGACTTGTCTATCGTAAAGCTTTCCTTGAATTGTAACAAGAATGATTGCTCGTCAACATGGCAAAGTGTCTGTGTCTGAGTCTGCACAAATGAAAAATAGTGAGTAGCATTGAGTAATAGCAAAAGAAGACAATGCAAATAGGTAAACTTGGACAACCAAGATTCCATTTTCATGGCAGTGTGTTTTTCTGGTTATAGGAAATATTGTTTTATGGCTCTCGGATAATTAAGAGTGGAGAAGTTAACTCCTTTTATAGACACAACCCATGCAAAGCATAAATAAATAAAAAAGCATGAGTCGATTGATGAATGGGTGGTGAATTGATGTCTTGATCAATTGAAGACTTGGAAGTCATGAATTCTTTTTCAAGATTCTTGGAAACGTTTGTTTTGACTCGAAGTAAGTACTGGTTTGGTACTGAGGTGCTTTTATAAAAAGTGGGTATAAAAAAAAGCTGAGCTCAAAAAGGTGTTTGGTAAACACTTAAAATCAGCTTATTTTCACAGTTTTGGGTGAAAAAAAGCTGAAAACGTGAAGCAGCAAAAATGAGCTTATTCTCACATCACAGCAAAAACAGTTTTTTTTAAAGCACAGCAATACCAAACCAGCCTTGAGTCATTTGGATGTAACAACTCTAGCTAGCCTAGCCACTATAGGAAAGTTTTGAGAATGGGAGAATTAGTGCCACGCTAGAACATGTAACTCTTGAAGGTAGAATATATATTACTCATTACAGAAACTTATCCATTTCAATCAATCCGCCCAAAAAATGGGAGAATTAGTGCCACGCCCTGATCTTGAGAATCCTCTAGAAACATGCTAACATTTGGAACATCAAAACATAATGGGAAAATCAATAAACAAGGCACCACAAAGTCCACATTAGATAATAGTCAAGGGCGTCTAATTTGATTGAAGCTTCGTCCAACTTGTGTCTCAATTGTTCATGAATGTGACTATAACAAACACCGTCAAACACTTTGTGGTAATAGTCAAAGGCGTATAATTTGGTTCAAGACTATAAGCCTTAATCAATTAGTAGCAAAAATATGGTTTCACACTAATCTCCTGACGAGAATGTTTACGGTGACAGTGAAAGAGTGTAATTTGGTTCAAGACTTTAAGCCTTAAAAGTGGATCCATGCATAAGACTAGAAGGGAGATGGAAGAGGCAGGGGAAAGGAGGTAGTAGGGACCCGCCGACTGGTGAGAGCTTCGACTATTGTTTTAATTTTTAATTTTTTTTATTATAAAAAAAATTTCAGTAAGCCCATATCAATTCCAGAACATTTTAAGTTTAAAACCGAAATTAGGCATAATCAAAGATGGACCATTTCATCAGAATATGTGAAAGGTCTCAAGACATACCAAGAAAAAGGTAGGCAACAAAAAGAAATTAAACGCAGAAACTCAACAAAATAAACAATTTAGAGGTTAAGCATCTAAGGTACAAGCTTAAAGATCATAGAAAATAAGAACTTACAGAGATTATCAGGCAATTTCTGGTTTTTGAATTTGGGATTAAATGATTCAAATAAGCACTTGAAAGAGTGATTGATAACAAAAATCTGAAGTCAACACAACATGCAGTCATCTACAGATATCAAATACACATTCACTAAACATAGTCCACCATCAATCCACACACATATTTGGTTAAAGGATAAAAGCAAGTTTAACCTGTTGTGCCACCACAGCATCTTGAGGATCATCCGTGAGGAGCAGAAAGCAAAGTTTGTACAAAAAGAAGTGTTGTTTTCCATGTTAGGGTGCCTTCAACATATGAGATACATACACCAAAAAAACATTATTTGTGATCCTTATGCATATTGTTTCTCTGAGTATTCCAATTCAGCGGCACTTGGCTGTTTCTCTTACTCTATGAGCTGTTTTTTCTTTTAAGCAAATTCTGCTGATAAATAGATTATTCACAAAAATTATGAAATACAATTGTACATTAAGTGCTAATAATTTTCATAAATTCGCTAGTTAAATTTCCTCACAGCTTGAGTGATGTCTAAAATAAATGATGGATGAGGTTATAGTTTATAAGTTTCACATTTACATTTACCCACAATTTAAGTGGTATATTTAAACTCCAAACGATGCATAGGTTATCAAGTAGTTACATCATTATTTTAAAAATTCACATCCAATAAGAGTATAAATAACCTCGCAATGGGTCGACTTGCAATGAACTAAAGAACTCGACTTTTTCTTATGATTACATCACCACCTTCAAGAAATACATTAATCAGTAAAATCAGAAGCGACAACACAACAGAAAATCCCAAGTAAAGTTCTCATTAGCAGTGAAATGATTAGTATTGCACTAAACGATTTAGAGATAAGGAGATAACGATTTAAACAATATTACCTCAATCATCGTTCTGATAAAGAGAATATGTTACTTGTCCAAAACTACCAATTAGACCACGGATCAAAACTAACTGTCAAAACCTATCATAGTAGTAAATTATTGTTCTTTCTTAAGATTCCAAATACTTGGATACACAATCTTTTTATAGTTTATATGGATACTTGACCCTCATCAGTCTTATATACTCCCCTCGTGGCCATGATACTTTTTTATGAGAGCATTAGACAGAAGGGCATGCTTTGAGTATTCAAAAAATTTTCACTTTCTCAGTTTTCTCTAAACCTCATGATATGCCGATAATAGTTAAAGATGAATGAACAAAATAAAAAAAAAAGGGTTAAAACCAAAGGTGAACTGAAATAGTGAAACGAAGAAAGAAAACCATAAATGGAACCCAAACGCAAAGAGAGAGAGAGAGAGTTAAACCCAAAAGCTTAACACAATCTCATTTGCATACCATTTGACTATATTAAGAAAAATATGAAATTTGCACCCCCATTTGACCATATTAAGGATGGAGGGCACTCACATCGTTGTAGTAGTAGTCTTCTTTGTTATGCTTTTCCTCAAAACTGCCATAAAAAAACCCAGAAAGCATAAAAATTTAGAAGCAGAAAAGAAAATGTTCGAAATTGCCATTGGAAATGCAGAATGTACATATGGAAACCAAATTGAATTATTATGCCCTCTCTCCTCCTCTCTCCTCCTTCCTCCATATACTGGTAGTTACAGTCAATCGATTTAATTTATTCCCAACTTCATCAAAACAACCAAGAAGTATAAAACAGCAAGGTTAATTCTCACTTTCTTTAATCAAAATGAATTCTACTTCTTCCCATCTATTTGCACATCCCTTCAACACTCTCAATTGATATTAAAATAGAAAACAAATTGTTGCAAGAAAGAAGAGGTTGGGGCAAGGTTTGCAGCCTTGTTGAGCATTTCTTCTTTTGTTTACAATGTAAGCACTCTCTTTAAGGGAAATGGTACTGAATGTTTACAAAGGGAATCGATACTACACAAGAACATGTAGCAGAGCTTCTAAAAATTACAAAGGATAGCGTTGTTGCAAAAGGAATGTAAAGGAAATGACAGGAAATAACAGAGCCTTTTGGGAAGTCTTGCTGTTTTGTTCAGAGAGTTGAGTGTCCTTTTCACTTGCTTTTCTTGCTGCTTTTATAGACTTCTTAGCCCGATTGTCCAAGTTTTCCCTTTCTAGCAAAATTTCAATCCCGCGTGATTGTCTTTGTATGGGGTGAATCACCTTAGATCCTTCATTATTTACCAATTTTGCCATTGAAAAGGTGCATTTTTGCTAAGGCCTTACTGCCCATACCTCTTGTTAGCCTAGGTGTAGGGTTGTTGTCTATTAGCTGCCCCAACATGATCCTCTCCAAATCCTTTTAGTAAGGATTTTGAAGATTTGTGAATCGTGTCCTTTTAATTATACATCGTGCGGTCAGTTTTTGTAAGGTACTGTTTGTATTTAATTTTAAATAAAAATATTTAAAATGATTTTTAACTGCACGATGTATGATGAACGGACACGATTAATGGATACCCGTGATCCTCACAAAGAGGATTCGGATTCTTAGCTGCCCTGCACCATCATTTTAATATTATGTGGGCCGCCGCTTCACCAAAGCAGTCACTAGCCCAAAACAAATGCATTGCACAACTGGGCTTTCTTTGAATTAAACCCAATATTAATTATCAACCCAAACACCTGCCAGAGAGAAGGGCACAGAGGGGATTGAGAGAGAGCGAGCGAGCGCAGAGACAGGAAGGCCGGAAATTGAGAAAGAAGGCCATGCTTGCAGAGAGCGACTGAGATTTGAAACCCATGCCTGCCTCAGCTGATTAAAAAGGTGAGAAGTCGTTTTCAAATTTTTGTGTTTACAAACTCTATTTATTTCATAGAGCTTCAGATTCGAAATTGTAATTGTGGTCAGCAAGAATTCGAAAAATACTTGACCGATGCAGATGTCTAAGAGGTAGCCATGGATGCAGATGCATATGGCCATTCCATGGCTGCTGCTGGAAAGAATCAAATGGAAAGTTAAAAAAATATTTTGTTCCCAACCCCAAGATCAAGTTTGATTGGCCAAGACAGCTTGGTCCGACGGATCCTGAGAGGACGATCCGGAGAGCAATCGAACATGCAAAGGTAGTGATTGAAGGTTTAAGAAGTAAAGTTATTTTTTGTTTCTTTGTTTGCTTGAAAAGAGTCATAATCTAACCATTTGTATTGTGTGTACATCAATCAATTAATGGAAAATAATCTGTCATCTAAGTTTCTTAAACATTGCCTCGGAAATTTACATTCGCATCCACGTTTAATGTAGTTATATGGGATACATTGTCTCCATCTACAACCTCCCGAGCTTCTATTCTCTCTCTCTCTCTCTCTCTCTCTCTCTCTCTCTCTCTCTCTCATGTCATATGCCCGCCATAGTTATTAACTTTCTTGCTTACAACTAAATTGTCAAATACTCTGAAATACTATATTTCAGAGCCTTAAACTCCATAGATCAAAATTCCAACATCAGAAAAAAAAATCACACGTAAAGATGGAGGAAGGCAAAGACAGGACAGACGGGGGTTTGGGGCACAAAGGGGATCTTTATACACATCACATACACTTATCCACACAGAGTACACACTTACCTACACTTACACATTTTATATACATACAGAGTACACACACATGCAGTGTCACACAAACACTGTCATACACTTATGCACACACACACATACAATATATACTCACACGCTTACACCTTTTTTTATCGCTTGGAAGATATTGTTGTTTTTCCTCGGCAATACAATATACACTCACACACTTATGCAGCACATACACTCACACATGCAGTACACACATTGTTGTTTTTCCTTATTTGATTATTGGGATGCCAAACTTTAAGAATTTGTGTTTAATTTGATTCTTTGGTATACTCAGTTAATTAGCTAAGAATTGGTTTACATTTAGATTATATATATATGATTTTGGACTGTAGTTTTTCTCTAACTGAATTTGTTTTGATTCAATGGGTTAGTGAGTTAAAACTACAAGTGGGTTTCTTTTGGTTTTTGGGCTGCTCTTAACTTTCTGTTTCCTGATTGAATTTGTTTTGATTCAGTTGGGTTAGTGAGCAAAATTGCAAGGGGGGTTTTGTTTTGGTTTCAGAATATCTCTTATGGGTTGTGTATGAGGCTGGAGGATTTGAACTAAACCACGCAATGGACATTCATAATAATGTGCAAGTAGGTATTACATATATAAATTGCATATGCGCTTAATGGTTTGCATTGTTTGCTGTTTTTTGCATAATGGTTTGAATCTGTGCTTAGGTTGGTTTAAAACCCAGGTTGTGTGAGTTTATCGGTTTAATTGGGGGAATGAAAAAATAAAGTTGGCCTTTCATTGAAGATGCTCAAGTAATTGGAGTTTGTTTTATTAGAAAGATGGTTAAACATTCTGTTTTATTGGGAACATGCACACATAGAATTCATCTAAAGGAAGGTTTAGGTTCTTTGAGGCTTTTTATCTGGTTATGTCAATTTGGAATAAAGGAAAGAGAACAAAAAAAACAAAGGGATTTGATTTGGGGGTTAATACTAAGATTGGGTCAAATGTCAATCAACATTTTATGTTTTCAAGTTGAAGTCATTCATTTTCAACAGGAAGTTTTTATTAGAATTGGGGAGAAATTCTGATGAACTACTTAATCTCACAAATTTGTAAAGCTAATCAAAAGTAGATTAACACTATATAATTTGGTTTGAAACTCAGGTTTGAATCTGTGCTTAATGGTTTGCATTGGTTGCTGTTTTTGCATAATGGTTTGAATCTGTGCTTAGGTTGGTTTGAAACTCAAGTTGTGTGAATTAGTTTATCAGTTTAATTGGGGGAATGAAATTCTAATATGATATGCTAACGCCACTCAGGTTGTGTGAATTAGATATCTATTTAACTACGACATTCTAAGAAAGGATATTTTTGAGATATTTTTAGTTGTCCCGTCGTAGCCAAACAGTAATATTGAAATGCACCTAAGATCAAAATAATAACTCTTTAACAGCTTAATGATACTAATCTTGGTTAAACGGTGCCAAATATGCGTACTACCAATCAAAAGTTTTCAACAGCTGTGTAGGTATCGGAATTACAATTTTCATATGACTAGGACCTGCTCGAACCACCTACTTAGATATATGACAAGATTGTCGTGTTTATCAGCTGCTCACTTATTGTTTTTGCCACAGATACCATGTCGAGAATGATGCTTGGATCTAGGCCCGCACCACCCCGTTTGGTCAACCTGCAGATGTGCACTTGCCTATTGACGGAAATCGAAACAGCCGAGTTCATTTGTGATTCCTCTTCTGAAGTGGCATCCACAATATAGTGCTTACGTACCTGAAAAACACATGTACATGATTCAGTACAGGGCAAAAAAGCATTTGCAATTCGCTAAGGGACAGAAGAGATGGTTAAATTTTGTCACCTTTGTTAATGTAACTATGACAGGGACCTTAGATGCGTCAAATTGCAGAAATTCCTCATCGCTTACATCAACCTCTGGTTGCTCATCGCCTGATGCACCAGCTGCAACATTTACTCTTGGGATGCCTGTATCGCTCAAAGCGGCCTTTGGGAACATCAGTTTCTTTTCCTTTCGTTTTTTCACTTTATTTGGAAACAACTACGTGCACTTTAACTCTTATCAATTGCCACCACCTCTCATCGGGGACGCAGGCAGAAGCCCTGCTAACCTGGAAGAACAGCTTCGACTTCGGTGATTGACCTTCTTCTCTCGATTCATGGTCCCTCACCAACCTCAACAACCTCTGCAACTGGACTGCCATTGTTTGTGACTGGCGACCGCAATACCAAAACAGTTTCCAAAATAGATAACGAACAATTTTAAGTCTTACTTTTATTTGAGCAGCCAAATTTTGAGTAGAGTTGACGGGAGGGGTTCCAGGTGGACAGAGTGGGGTTTGGGTGCGGGATTACAGGGAGAGATGGTGAGAGGGTGGGTGCGGTCATGATCGATTTGAAAGGTGGGATGGTGAGAGGGTGGGTACGGTCATGATCGATTTGAACGGTGGGGGTTGGGGGTTGGGGGGGGGGGTGGTTGGGGGGTGGTTGAGGGGATGGAGAGAGAGAGGTGTAGGTTGAGGTGCGGGTGTAGGGTTGGTCATTTCCACACCAAAAAACATCATCCTCTTTTCAGTAAATAGAATTAGTACTAGCTGAACAGAGTTCCTCTCTGCAACTCCTCCTCCATTACTGCGTTCGAATTTTCGACAATGGTGAGTAATTCAAACGCTTCTTTTGTTCAATAGTGTTTATTTAATTTAATTTGAATTCTTTCCGATTTTGTTTACGGTGTATGGGTTATGAATTTCCATGTTTTCGGTACTTATATGCAGCTGATTGCTTTCCTCGCTTTTTATCCATACCGTTTGGTTCAAAGAATGAAAACACGCATTCCTACTTTGCGAACTCTGTTTCGTTATCTCTTCAATCCCTGCTTTGCAATCTCCGTTGTTCACCCCGCCTTCTCATCTCCGTTGGTATTTCCACCAACCAGTGAAGTGTCCGGAGTTTGAACATGAAATGCCCAGGAGGCCGCCCAGTGCAAGGTAACTTTTCTTTTTTTACTTTTCTGTGTGAAATCTCAATGTGGGTTTGACCTAATTACTACAATTGATAAATTATTGGTTTTGGTTGATGGTTTACCTTGCGCTGGGTTTTAGTTGATGGGTTTTTCTTATGGGTTTTGCTTGCATTTGGTTTTGGTTGACGACAGTTATATTTGATCTCTGTTGCACACCTTACTAGAACTTGAATCAATGGTAACGTATAAATTGTATGGATTTTACGCCTATTTTAATCTTCGTTAACGAAATTAGCGTTTAAGTTGAATAATTCATATTCTTTTGATATTGGAAATTAGACTTTGATTTCTCAGCCCTATGCTTCTTTGCTGTATAAGATGAGTTTGGGTTATATGACTCAGAAACGGGATTTTTTTTCTTCAGTAAGAGAGTGAAAATCCCTTGTCTTTAGATTTTCATGTATTTTGTCGGCAATAATAATTTGTTTTTGCAGCTTTATATGTGTGTCTGTCTCCAAATATGAGGATCTCTTAATTTGCATATGTAGCTTTTGTAATATGATGATCTCTTAATTTGCTTTTGCATATCTTCTCTGCTTCCTCTGCTAGCTTTATATGTGATTCTATCTCCAAATAATTATTCCATATTTCCTATTTTTATTGGAACCAAATCATTGAATAAACATGGAAAATTAAAAGGGTTTTAGTTTTTGGATTGGTTTAAATTTTTTATTGTTATTGGTTGTATTGTTGTCAAATATTTGATGGGAAGTTTGAAATGGACAACTTGGTTGATTGGGACAGAGGGAATCCAACAGCTGTAGACTCTGATTTACTGGCTTCAAAATGGAGAAGTTATTTCTTGGTTCACTTCCGTTGCGTAAACCAACTTCTCAGTTCAGTTCTCAGATATGAGGTTTCTCAGCTACCTCTTTTATGTAATGAAACATTTGAATAGTACTCGCAGAGATATCCCATTAATTAGGTTAGTTTTTGTTTAATTGGGATTCTTAAATTTGATATTAGGGATTTTAATTTGATTGGGTTTTAGATTGCATTGTACACTGTTTCTGGTATCTTTAGCAAAATAGGATCTTTTTCTGGGGATTCTAGAAGTTTAGTTGAACGCTAATATTAAATTTCTAACCCTTGTGGTGCCTCTCTCTATTTGAGATTGAGTTGGTGCCTCTCTCTAGTTGAACGCTAATATTAAATTTCTAACCCCTGTGGACAATGAGCAATTCGGAGATTTATCGCAATGCAATTTATCATTTCCACGGACCACCTATAATACTGGCTTACATTTTTCTTCTTTTTTCTTTGCCTATAGTAATATTATTGTTTATTTCCAAGATCTGAGTTTGTCATTCAGTAGAGATGCTTCATTCAGAAAATTGAAATTTCCCAAATCTTTGTTAATAATTGTATCCCTTGTAGAAGGATTTAATTTTCTTGGATGTCTACTTTTGAGCTTTAAGTTTTCATGTATGCAGCATTACTAGACCAAAAAAAGCGCAGTGTCGTGGAGTAATTAGGATTGTTTCTGTTTTTATTTATTTTTATTTTTTTTATGTCGAATTGACAATTGGTTTAAAAAAATGGATAATTTTTTTACTGGGTTTAGTTTCTGTGTTTGGTTTGAGAATAAATTCAGAGAGCTAAAAGGAAGTAAAATTTGAATATTTACGTTTAATGTTGTTTTGGGCTCGGATTAATTTTGTTTGTTTGATATTAGAAATTGAGTGATAGGCAATTTGCACTTTTCTCCCTTTTGAATAGCTTTTAACTCATTTCTCATTTTCTGTTTGGTTTCTTAGAAAATCGAGGGAAAAAAAGATAGAAGATTAATGAATTCATTGAATTGAGTGCTTTAAGTCCATTTATGATTGAAGTTATTCCCTTCGCTTTCATTTCTGTTTCTATTCTTTTGGGTTTCGAGCATGTTGAGGATGGTAAAATCAATTATTTTGATTTTGGAAGTCTACTTTGTTTTTCGGCTTTAGTGCTTGGGAGAAGCGAAAATGTGATTTCATGTATGGTGGTTGTATTTGTCTGTCATTTGAAAGGAATTCAGACAGAGAGAGAATGGAGAGGCTAGGTTTGTTGTCAGTGAGATTGAAGGATGGTCTGATGTATCCTTGCAGGTGAACTATATGCTCACGCACGCTCATCCAGTGGAACCTGTAACTGATAGCTGCAGGTTTATTCTAATTCTCACTAAACTGGAGCGTATCTTTATTGGACTCCTCATGTTAAAACATCATGCGCCTACGTATTTGTGAATGCAGTTAAGTTGTTGGTACCTTTTGAGTATCAATTGATTATTATGTACTGTTATTCAAACTCTCTCTCTTTTTTTGGGAAATGATTCATATTTGCTATAAACTACAAATTTAAAACCCACAACGGAGCGCGTCACTTTTGCTAGTTTTGACCTAGAAGCAAATGGAAACGGGAAGCGTAATTCCAACTACTTAGTTGATAACACTGAATTTGATCAAGTAGAAATATCATACAAAGCAAACTTATAGAACCCCATTATTGTAATATAACATGACAACATATGTTGAAGCATCAGAAATCATAAAAAACATGACATCGGCCTTGAAGGCCCAAACATTTCTCTAGCCGGTAGACACATCAAGCTAAGTTCGGCTTCCCCTTGTCGCCCTTGCCGTTGTTGGCTACCTACTCTTTCTGAATGTCTCCACAAACCGTTCATACTTCTTGTCTGCCAATGTGTTTCCACCAACCACTCCCACTATTAGTCCGCAAACAACTCCCGGCAAGACCACATACCAGTCAAACTCAAATGGAAATCCAGCCAATTCATCTTCTTCAAAGCTTGATGGTGCCGGCAGCCTCGAGCTCTCAGAACCCTCACATTTCTTGGACAAAGGCTTTCCACATAGACCTGAGTTTCCTTGGTATGAATCTTCTAGGAATGTACCAAATTGTTGGCCAAGTGGTATAGGCCCCCAAAGATGGTTATGCGACACATTGAAGTACTCAAGGAAAGTGAGTTGCGTCAAACTATCGGGTATCCTTCCTGAGAGCTTGTTTTAAGAGAGATCTAATGATTCAAGAGCAGTCAAGTTCCCTAGAGATGGGGGGATATGACCAGAGAGAGTGTTGGAGAGGTTTAGCAAATGAAGTGCTCTTAGACTCCCAATGATACTTGCTGGAATCTCTCTTTCAAAGCTATTACTTGAGAAATCTATGAGTCTCAGATCATAGGGGGTCTCATCATATTTCAACTCGATACCTTTTACAGGAATTATCATCGCGTATGAATATCGATAGTAATTTCCATGATATCTGCTGTGGTTCGACTTCAAAGTACCGGCTTCCCTCATTTGCGACAACATATTTCATGAAATTCCAGTTCTCCATGTACTTAGAAGGCAACATACCTGTAAACAAATTGTTGGATAAATGAATGATGCACAAGTTTGGGAACTCATGATTAGTTGGAGGCTTCCCAATTATCCCATGAAATGCATTCGACCCCAAAATGAGACCCTTCAATACTAGAAGTACCCCTAACCAAGAAGGGAAGATATCACTGATCTGATTGTTGCCAATGTCAAGAAACTCTAGCCGAGTGCAATCGGCCATTGATCTTGGTAGCTTCCCCTGTAACCGATTGTAACCCAACCCAACCAATTTCAAACTATTGTTGTTAGCACAAAATGGAGGAATATCGCCGTGGAAAGAATTAAGCATCAAATGCAGTATTTCCAAGTATCAAATGCAGTATTTTTAATTCTTCAAATCCAACGATATAAAGATCCAACGGATGAAATTTAAATTCAATGTCAAAATAATAAAATAAAAATTTTAAGACGATCCACTTAAAAAAATTATTTTCCAATCCCATCACCAAGACAAGGCAAATACTTTTAGCTTATATGAACTATCATTTATATTTTCAATTAGTGTTTAAGTTTTTAGTTTATGTTATGAATTATCATCTATATTGAAGTTTTGGTTGGTTGAGTGGTTGATTGGTGTGATTGTTTGGTTTTATTTTTTTATGTTAAAATATTTGTAAAATTAAATTAAGATAGGATAACTCTAAGTTACAAAAAATCCTTTCTGAAAAAAATAGGGTTAAAACAATTCTACAACAGTTAATATATTTTAAGTCATGAAATTTAGGTCTTGAGGGTTGAGTAACATTCATTGTTCATAGACTTAAATTCTGTCTTTTAGTAAACTTAAATATTTGAGTTTGGGGTCACTCAGTACTACTGTCTGGTGGTATATTTCTTCATTTGGAAGTGAGAGGTCTTAAGTTCGAATCTCGTGGATGGCGAATTCGGTACCAAATTAGGTTGCTCATTGTGTAGCTTAGCCAAACTTTCCCTCCCCTAGTGTAAAATATCGATGTACTAAAAAAAAATAATTTGAGTTTGGGTTGGTCTTATTGAGATATTACATGTGAAAAGCTGTAATAAATTATCTATAAAGCTCAATAAGGAAAATAAACATTGTTTCTATGTACAGTGAAAGGACAAAAAAGCCCCTGTTTCACTATTATTTTTCAGTGCTATTTTTTTAGCTGCATGGTAAGATGGCCAAAAAGGCCCTACCTCTTCAATTTGTTGAGAAATTTTTTCGTGTGCACGTAATACAAGTGGTATATCACGTGTTATTATATAAGTAGTAAAAAAATGTAATTTTTATGTTATTAATTTTTTAATACAAAAATCCTACTATTTATATAAAAACACATGATGAACCACCTCGTGTTGTTTGCACAATGAAAAAAAATTTCAATTTGTTGACACACCGTTTCTCTAGGTACTTCCTAGTTCGTACATCGTTTTTCTCACCGCTAAAACCCTCACTGTGCTGCCTGCCTCTACTCTCCCCGTCTTCCTCCTCGCCTCATCTGCTAAAATCTCTTTGATTCTACCATCCGTCACAACCGTTCGGACTTTCCCAAAGGTAAATTCTTTTCTCTTCCTTACAAAATTTGATATTGATTTTGAAAAATAGTGAAACCCCCATAAAACAAACCGTCTTTCTCAACCGAAGATTATGATATATGTTTCTAAGCGGTTTGCCTTTGGAAAGTAAAAAACAAACTGAGCAATTATAAGATTTGGCCAAGTAAATGGTTTCACAATTGATTATTTAGGATAATTACAAGCGTGAGGATTATTAAATGCTATATTTGATAAATACGCCTAATTTTAAGGTAGAAGCCTTTAGATTAGAGCGCACTTTATGGTTTTGCATTAGAAGACAATCTGTACTCAACTTCTTAAGCAAGTCTGGAGGAAATATGCTCTTAGTTGATGCTCTGCCTCCGTCTTTTTTGCCCACTTTAATATGCTTTCTTCTGATCTCTAACTTTTTAAATTAAAAATTTTTGTTTTATTAATTTGATTCGGATATTCAGAGAATAGCGTTTCATTCCAATTCAATGATTTTGTGTGGCGCTGAGTTTTCTGTTGGAGAATAAATTTTCATCATAGTTCATTCAATTTTGTTTTATTTTCTGATTTGGATTTTGAAATTGAGACTCCTAGGTTTACCCTCATCAAGAAAATTTTATTGATTCCAATTGATAAATGTTACCAGGATGGGAAAGGGATCACCAATTTGAAATCAGCTCTTCAGGTATGCATTCATTCCAGATTTAAAACATCACTTCCGTTTAGTATGTTGTTTATCATTTTTTATCATAACACCATCATGCTGTGTTATTGTCCGTCCTTTTAGTTGTTAAAATCTGCTTTTTTGAGTTGTACATAGAACTCTTAACGTAGAATTAGTAAAATGCAGGTGCAGAATGAACAACTAATCAATGTGGAAAACTTTTGGAAGTGTATATAACTGCAACATAGAAATCTCCCATTTGGATTGCACATATGCTCTGGATGCAAAGTAAATAAAATGTAATGTAACTTAAAGACTTATTTTACCATGTTGTGTTTGTGAATGCAGTTAAGCAGTTGGTAGCTTTTGAGTATCAATTGATTATCATGTACTATTATTCAAACTCTTTTTTTGGGAAAAGGAAACGGGAAACGTAATTCCAACTACTTAGTTGATAACACAGAATTTGATCAAGTAGAAATATTATACAAAGCAAACTTATAGAACCCTTTTATTGTAATATAACATAACAACATATGCTGAAGCACCAGAAATCATATAAAACATGACATTGGCCTTGAAGGCCCAAACATTTCTCCATCCGGTAGGCACATCAAGCTAAGTTCGGCGTCCCCTCGTCGCCCTTGCAGTTGTTGGCTTCCTCCTCCTGCTGAATGTCTCCACAAACCATTCATGTTTCTTATCTGCCAATGTGTTTCCAGCAACCACTCCCACTATCAGTCCGCTAATAACTCCCGGCAAGACTACATACCAGTCAAACACAAATGGACATCCAGACTCTTCATCTTCTTCAAAGTTTGATGGTGGCGGCAACCTCGAGCTCTCCGAACCCTCACATTTCTTGGACAAAGGCTTTCCACACAGACCTGAGTTTCCTTGGTATGAATCTTCTAGGAATGTACCAAATTGTTGGCCAAGTGGTATGGGCCCCCAAAGATGGTTATGCGACACATTGAAGTACTCAAGGAAAGTGAGTTGTGCCAAACTACTGGGGATCCTTCCTAAGAGCTCATTTTGAGAGAGATCCAACGATTCAAGAACAGTCAAGTTGCCTAGAGATAAGGGGATGTGACCAGAGAGAGTGTTGTTGGAGAGGTTTAGAAACATAAGTGCTCTTAGACTCCCAATGATGCTTGCTGGAATCTCTCCTTCAAATTTATTACTTGAGAAATCTATGTGTCTCAGATCATAAGGGGTATGATCATATGTCAACTTAACACCTTTTACTGGAATTATCATATCGTATGAATATTGAATGTACGCTCCATATTTATTTGTGCTGACGTTCGATGAGACTAGAAAGTACTGGCCTCCCTTGTTTGCGACAACATATTTCATGAAATTCCAGTTCTCCATGTACTTAGAAGGCAACATACCTGAAAACAGATTGTTGGATAAATCAATGATGCACAAGTTTGGGAACTCATGATTAGTTGGAGGCTTCCCAATTATCCCATGAAATGCATTTGACCCTAAAATGAGACCCCTTAATACTGGAAGTACCCCTAACCAAGAAGGGAAAATGTCACTGATCTGATTGTTGCCAATGTGAAGAAACTCTAACCGAGTGCAATCGGCCATTGATCTTGGTAACTTCCCCTGTAACCGATTGTAACCCAACCCAACCAATTTCAAACTATTTCTGTTAGCACAAAATGGAGGAATATCACCGTGGAAAGAATTATACATCAAGATCAGCATTTCCAAGCCACTAGACTTCCCCAAACACCGTGGAAGCATGCCACTCAAGTTGTTGTTGCCCAAATCAAGAACTTGAAGATAATTCGAGTTGCAGAACAATGGTGAAACTTCTCCACTATAATTATTGTCGCTGACAACGTAAGATGTGATAGATTGTGGTGGAATTGGCAATGACCCTTCTAACCGATTATTGTCAAGAAAAAAAACCTGTAGATTTTTCCATGGAATAGTGACTGGATTTTCCTCAAAGCCTGTTAAGAAGTTAGAGCCGAGGTCGAGATTGACCAAAGTTTCTCTAGTTGCATTCCAGAGCCATTTTGGTATTTGGCCATGAATATTGTTATCAGAAAGGTATAGGGCTCCCAATTCATATTGATTTTTCAAAAATTCTGGAAACTCTGTCAAGTTGCAATCCCCCAACTTTAGAATTTCGAACTTTGGAAGAGTAACACTCAAACCAGACTTAACACGCACAGATAACTTGTTGTAAGATAAACTAAGTGCCTTCAACTTTTTGAGGTTGGTAAACTCATCAAACTCGACTAATCCACTCAATTTATTAAAGCCAAGGAGAAGAAGTTCAAGATTTCTGAGGTGGAAAAGCGACTTAGGAACTTCTCCTTGCAAATCGTTGAAGCGGAGATTTAGATAAGTTAATTGGGTCGACTCTACTGCAAGCCAAGATGGGATTTCACCAGTTAATGAATTGACAGACAAATCTAGAAACGTAAGTTGGGTCAGGTTAGCCACAAAACGTGGGAAATTTCCCAATAAGTTATTTTCCGAAAGATCCAAGTAGTTGAGCTTGGTTAATTTTCCAAAACAAGACAAAGAATCAGGAACTAAGAATTGGCCTACGGAAACTTCATGAAATGAAGACATCTCAAGGAAACTAAGTTGGGTAAGGTTTCCGAAAGAAAATGGAACATGGGAATCAAAACCACAGTTTGAGATATCAAAGCAATTTAAGGAATGAAGGTTTCCGATAGAACTAGGAAGTTCACCAGAGAAATTTGTCCATGAAACATCCAATGTTTTGAGGGAATTGGTTCTGTTAAAAGTGGGAAAATAACCATTTAGCTTTATGTTCGAGTATAAACTAAGCTCTTCTAGGTTTGGTAGGTGGAAAATTCCTACTGGGAATTCCCCATACAACCCACAATAGCTTAGATTGAGAGATGAGAGAAAAGATGCATTGACCAAGATATCAGGCACGATAGAGTATATGCCTAAATCACTAAGATGAAGTTGTTTTATGCTGGTCAAGTTTTGGACTAGGCTTCTCATGTTGGACTTCCTAAGCTCCAAACCATTATTGTGGGACATATCAAGGGTAGATAGTTTGGATAACTTTGAAATTTCAGATGGAATTTCTCCAGAAAATGCAGACAGTGAAAGGTTGAGATAAGATAGACTCGAAAGGTCATGGCCCAATCTTGATGGTACTTCAGAGGAATTGAAGTTGTTATCTGAGAGGTCAAGCATTTGCAAGTGAACAAGTCGGAAGAGGGTGCTGTTGGAATTGATAGAACCATAGAGACAACTACTCTTGAGGTCAAGGCCAATGACACGGCCAGACTCTGCATGGCACTCAACACCATCCCACGAACAACAGTTACTCTGATTCTGATCTGCTTCTCGAGTCCAAGATGCAACCTTTGGATAAGCAAAAGGAGATGAAGAAGCTGACTTGTCTATCGTAAAGCTGTCCTTGAATTGTAACATGAACGATTGCTCGTCAGGGTGGCAAAGTGTCTGTGTTTGAGTCTGCACAAATGAAAAATAGTGAGTAGCATTGAGTAATAGCAAAAGAAGACAATGGAAACAGGTAAACTTGGACAACCAAGATTCCATTTTCATGGCAGTGTGTTTTTCTGGTTAAAGAAATATTGTTTTATGGCTCTCGCATAATTAAGAGTGGAGAAGTTTACTCCTTTTATAGACACAACTCATGCAAGGCATGAATTTAAAATAAAATAAAAAAAGTATGAGTCGATCGATGAGTGGCTGGTGAATTGATGTCTCGGACTCTCGATCAATTGAAGACTTGGAAGTCATGAACTCTATTTCAAGATTATTCTTCTTTACCTGGTGGCCAGGAAACGTTTGGTCTTTTTTTTTTTTTTTTTTTTTGGCTCAGAGTAAGTTATTTGGATGTAACAGCTCTAGCTACCATAGGGAAGCTTTGCGTATCTGTTAGGCAATCTCAGTTGAAGTCGAGCTATTAAGGACAAGGGTATTAAAAATTCGGCAAATTTAGTTTCTAACACTTGATCCGAACACTAACTTTTGAAAATTGTTATACGCGTTAAAAAAATATATCATTTTGCACTCTTTGTTTTTTTTTTTCCCGCTAGTCTAGGATCGAATTAGAACATGTAACTCTTGAAGGTAGAATATAGATTACTCATTAAGGAAACTTATCCATTTCAATCAATCCGCTCAAAAAATGGGAGAATTAGTGCCACACACATAATTGCTGTTATAATTGAAAATTGGGAAGGATCTTCCTACATCTATATATAAACACTGGTTTATCAAGAATACGCAAGAAAGGTACTTCGAATTGTTTGAGACAAGTGTGTGGTTTTTATTTCCCAAAACGGTTGGGGAATAAATTGCATTTTGTTATTTATGAAATTCAAACTTAAAATCTCATTTACAATTAAAGAAAAATATCACTAAATCGCAGTACTAAAATAACTTCGTTTCTCAAAATTGAAAACTAAAAATTTAGGTTATCAAACGAACTCCTATTTTTTTGGATTATAATGTATGTTTTTGTTTTTGTTTTTTTATGTCCGAATTAAATATGCTTAGGATCTTACATAATTAAAGGTGGAGAAATCGACTTCCCTTTTTTGTAGACAGTATATACAAAGTTGTTTCTTTCAACGAGCTATGGGAGCTATGGACTACAAAAGAATGGAACTTTAACGAAAAGTTTCCGATAAAGTTTTTAAACCATTTTCATTAATTTTCCTACAAAAGAATCCAAAAAAATAGTGATCCTGGACATACAAGAAGCCAAGACGGTGGAGAAATGGGTGGTGATCATGAACATAATAATCTGCTCAAACCATCACTTCAGGACTTTAAAGTCCAGTCAACGTTTGACAAAATCAGCCTCGCCATCACTTGAAGAAAAGTGTCGTTTGCATATATAACTCATCTCAACGCTTATTTCTCTTTTTAATACAGGTTCTAATTCTATGTATATATACTCAACTCAATTCATTTATCGTTACACTTCATTATCTCATGTTAATTACACGAGTTGAAGTTCGTCCATGTAGTAGGATTTACTATATATACACACAATTTATTCAGTAGTACGTGAATATTAATTAATCTATAGTCTTTAATTCATTTATCGTTACACTTCATTATCTCATGTTCATTATCTCATGTCTATATGGTTTATCAAGAATACGCAAGAAAGGTACTTCGAATTGTTTGAGACAAGTGTGTGGTTATTATTTCCCAAAACGGTTGTGGAATAAATTGCATTTTGTCATTTATGAAATTTGAACTTAAAATCTCATTTACAATTAAAGAAAAATATCACTAAACCGTAATACTAAAATAACTTCGTTTCTCAAAATTGAAAACTAAAAATTTAGGTTATCAAACGAACTCCTATTTTTTTGGATTATAATGTATGTTTTTGTTTTTGCTTTTGTTTTTTTATGTCCGAATTAAATATGCTTAGGATCTTACATAA